CTTTCTCTAACTGCTGGTATGTTTACTCATAGCAACAGTTTTTTGATTTGATCATCTTGTAATTCCCAAATTAAATATCATGAATTTATGGCAAAGAAAGAATTCATTTTTTTTCTGAATGAAGATTATTTGGATATATTGGAGGTTTAACAGCATTGTTTGCAAACAACAGCTAACTTACAGCTCATAGGTTACATGTTCATAAATGTATAAATATGTAAATGCAAATATGTAGAAATAAGTAAACAGTCAAATATAAAGATCAGTAAATTACCTGTTTTAATTTATTTAATAAAAACAAAAAGTTTTATTATTGATTAAGTCAAATTATCAGTCTGCTAAGGATATCTGTTTTTTGAACAGCTCCTCCTAAGCCCACTGTGACCCTGCAGCCATCCAAGACTCAGTTAAACAGCGGTGTGATATACAGAGGTGAGACAGTCACTGTCAGATGTGAGATTCAGGGAGGTGAAGGAGCTCAGTGGACGTATGAATGGAGACCAGCGAAGTTAAACACACCTCCAACATCCAGTGAATACAGAATCAGCAGAGCTGCTGAGTCTGACAGTGGAGGATACAGCTGCCAGGGCACAAGAGGCTCTTCCTGGACCGAGTGGAGTGATGTCATCACATTGTCTGTATTATGTAAGTTGGACATATTTCACCTTTGTTTTTAATTTCTATTGCACAATGTTTGATGCAAAAACACAACAAAATATCATGTCTTTCAATAAAACTGCAGTCTTTGCTCTCATTTTGGTATCAAAAATAGCATAAAACAACAAGTTTTACATAAAATCCACAGCAATCACTCACAGTGAAACTGTTATGATACGGCTGTGTGGCAGGGAGGATGTAGGACAGAAACGCAAAACAATCATCAGAGGAATGAATTTAAATATGCTGCTTTATTGCAGTGGTATAATTTTCACGAAAAGAAAAAAACTTGCAAAAACAAAATGAAACTAAAAACTGGGAACTAATAACAAAAACACTGAGACCTGTAAACTAGTGACAGAGATCTCAGGGAGCACGAAAACACGCAGCATGGTGAGGGGACGACGTGACACTGAGAGAGAGAAACTCAGGTCTAAAATACACTGAGCGAAACGAGGCAATGAGACACATGAGGGGAGAACAGTCGAGGCCAGGGTGAAGCAAAACTAGAAACACTGACAAAGGACAAGCGACCGTCAAAGTAAAACAGCAAGTATAACACAGACACGGACTAGACACTGAACAAAGGGAACACGGAGCACAGAGACCAGAGAGACAGTTATGATGTCATAACAGGAAATGGCAACAGGGTTTTTAGTGCTGTTGTGGCAATCTCGGGGTATTCTCGGGCTACACCGGCAAAGCTCATAATTTACTCATAACAACCAGGAAAAGATTCAGGGAAACCGAGTTAACAATAAAAACTCTGAAAACGATAAATTTCACACTCCAGCTTCAACTCTCGCTGCCCGGTACCAAATGACTCACGGTCCCGGCGAGGCCGCGAAAGGTGAATTGCATTGTAGCGAGGGAGGGACCACTGTAATACAAAACCAAAACACTGGTTCACAGACCCAGGACTGTGACAGAAGCATGTGGAGTTGAAAGACATATTCAGTCAATTTCATAAAAAATGAAACACAAATGTAATGATCCCAGTTTATTCAGCTCAGATGTTGCACATGTGGAGTTTTCATCAGTTTTCAGCAGAGTGGAAGCAGGCAGTGGTTTAACCCACTTTTGTTTAACTCAGTTTTCTCCTGTTTTGTGGACAGCCAGGAAGGTCAGGCATTGCATCTTCCTTTTCTTGATCAGGGACGTTTTACCCTGTGTTTTGATACTTTGTTATCACTGGGATGAAAAAAATGTGATTACCGCTAACAAGAGCAATAAAACCAGGAAAGCTTTAATGATCATTTTATATTTCTATAAGTCTGATGATGGGATATTTTCTATTTGTACAGATCCTCCTAAGCCCACTGTGACCCTGCAGCCATCCTGGACTGAGATATACAAAGATACCGCAGTCACTGTCAGATGTGAGATTCATGGAGGTGAAACAGCTCAGTGGACGTATGAATGGAGAGGAGGCCAGAAAAACATAC